TCGCAGTTACAGGGGATCACACTTTCATTTCGGAATTTTGTTTATTTTATTTAAACTACAAAAAACAAATTAATCGCCCCGACTGCGCCAGTCTATGATCAGACCAGAGTGTCTGTCTTAAGTTCAACACTGAACTATGTATTGGTAATTTCAGGTCTGTGTGGTGGTAGTGCATCTGGCAAGACTACTGTTGCAAAAAGAATTATAGAAGAGTTGAATGTACAGTGGGTAAATATTTTATCCATGGATTCATTTTATAAGGTATGTAATTCACATCAGTGAACTTATTATACCCACCTTTCTCATACACTTGTAACAGTTGATATATTGTACTACTTTTATTTGTAGTGCATGTACACTAGGCTTAAACTTTTGAAAATTGCTGATGGGTTAGAAATGCTTCTCTTAAACTCATTAATGGTAAAATACTAATCTATACTAACTGCAGTTTGTTTTACAATGTTGAAACTTTTAATACAACAAAGCTGAAGTGTAGTTTGTAATCTGTACTCAACATGTGATGAGTAGTTTGTAATCTGTACTCAACATGTGATGAGTAGTTTGTAATCTGTACTCAACATGTGATGAGTAGTTTGTAATCTGTACTCAACATGTGATGAGTAGTTTGTAATCTGTACTCAACATGTGATATTTGTGATGAGTTCAAATTTTCCACGCCAAGAAAAATAAATTCAAACTCTAAAAACACTAATTATTCATAAATGATCTTCATACAGTTTAAGTAACAATGAATTCAGTTTAGAAAACAACTCAACTTTGAATCTTCCCTGTTCTTCTACATGGCATCCCAGTGATGTCTTACTTTCTTGGCATAATTTTCATTGCTAAGAAATAGGTACTGCAATGTATACAAAATGTTATAGCCTTTATGTAGTGTGTGGACTTGTACATAGTCTGGTTCATATGGAGGACTGACTCATGTTTTTTTCATCTCTTGTGCAGAATTTTACTGAAAAAGAAAGAGCATTAGCTGTAAAAAATGAGTTCAATTTTGATCACCCTGACGCATTTGATATTGATCTTATAGTTACCACGTTAAAACAACTTAAAGAGCTAAAACATGTAGAGGTAAGTTTTTTGACATTGTTTTTATATGCATAATTCATGATCTGTTTAATGAATCTCTGATGACAGCAATTCTGATCCATGCTAACCGATCTGATCCATGTTGGCCGATCTGATCCATGCTAACCGATCTGATCCATGTTGGCCGATCTGATCCATGC